AAAAAGAGAGTAAGAGAACAGTCGGTTTTCTTAAAAAAAACCCAAACATTCTAAAAAAGCATTTTCAATTGTACAGTGTAAAGTCTATCCTTTGGCTACCCAGAAGCAAGCAGAGCATTTGCCCATGAAATTATTACCATGAAAAGCAAGATTAAAAGACTAACAGCTTACAAACTATGAACTATTTCCTAAAATTCTTTTTGTCCCTAATTCAGTCCTCCAAACTTTAGATAAAACTTCCAAGTGACAGTCTCCACTGCCTGTGAGACTACAAGAGCTTGCAAATTTACATATGAAATTAAGTTTAAATTACAGAGCAAAACAGGGTGAACTAAGGTCACACCATCAGCCTTAGTTCTGAACTCTAATCCACATTAAGATATCGTCCAACCTGAAACACAGAGGAACAAAAAGTCAAGTTACATCAAGTGCATACTAAAAATATAAGAAGTTTCTGACTTCAGTTATGGCTGAAATTGCCTTACTAATAACCTAAATTTTTGTAGCTAGCTCCCTTCTTCAAATTTAAAAACTTCACTTTTTTTTTCCAGCTTGTATATTACTGAATCAAATACATCTGGGTCCCAGTAGCAAAGTCTCTACCAGGCTCTAATAAAATAGGAGAAGCATGTGCATGTCTTCAAAAGATAAGTACATTATCAAAGCAGAGCAAGGAGCTCCCTGCACTGCAGAAACTTTCCATCACCATGATCCCACCATCCTACATGTAAATCCATTTCTTCTGCACAATAACACCAAGCTTGAAACATACTGCAACATAAACTAGAGCAAATCTAATGAAATCCAAAGACAAGGAGAATTTTATATCAACTTTAGGTACTTCTAATTTAAAGAAAAACAGAAGTCAATGGTATTGAACTGATATTCAAATCTAGCACATAACTACAAAGATGTCAGAGAAAAGGTATTTTCTTAATCCTTTATTCTTAGTCCTGCTGTCAAGCAATGCCTTGTATTCACTAGACCAAACTAAAGCAGGGAACCTTTTGATTCCAAAACCAGAACATTCCAAAGGGGAAGAAAATGAGATAATTTTTTTTTCCTGAGATTTTGGAAGAATATCACATTGAAGTTACACTGTTTATTCAAGAACCATAAAAGGGTTTGAGTTGAAAGGCACCTTTAAACATCACCTAGTAACCACCCCTCTGCCACAGACAAACATCTTGCACTAGATCAGGATGCTCAAAGCCCCATCCAACCTGGCCTTCAACACTGCCAGAAACAGAGCAACCACAACTTCTCTGGTTAACCTGTTCCAATGCCTCACCACCCACCAAAGTAAAGAATTCCTTCCTTGTAATCAATTTAAATCTATCCTCTTTCCATTTAAAATTTCTGTCCTTTGTCCTACCACTACAGGCCTTTGTAAAAAGTCTCTCTCCATCTTTCTCATAATCCCCCTTCTTCATACACTGAATGAAAGCCTCAATAAGGTCACCCTGGAACCTTCTCTTCTCCAGGCTGAACAACCCCAACTCTCTCAGCTATAAGAGAGGTGTTCCATCACTCTGATAACTTCTGCGGCCCTCCCTTGACCTGCTCCAATAACTGCATGTCTTTCTTGTGCTGGATGCCACAGAGCTGGATGCAGTGCTCCAGGTATGAGTCATCAGAGAACAGAACAGAGAGTGAGAATCACCTGCTTCTTTTTACAAGTTCAGGATACTAGTGGCAAAGGAAGTAGAGAAAATTTGGACAGAAAGACACACCACTCTGGCAAAAATTTACATATGACTTTACAGCCATTCCCTGAAGTACAAAATGAAATTACTATTTTCCGATTTTTACAGTAGCCTTCATTCATTTTTCTAAGGTTCACAGATAAATAAGAGGTTGAAAAACACTACATTAAGTAAAGTGGAATGTAATCAATGCTTGGTTTAGCTAAAAAAGTATGTATTTGATTTTGAGTTGTATCATTTACAAGAAGAGGTAAGACAGCAACAGGAAGAGGTTCTCTCTTGTGACATCAGAGGTTCTGTGGGTAAAGAGAAAACTGACAGAGAACTACCCACTGGGATACAGATAACTTCCTAAAGCAGTGCTCTTTACAGAAGCTGGGATAACACAAGGAGTGTTTAAATCTGTGGTTACATTAAAGGTTACAAGTTACAGCACTATATCAGGGCACATCAGCTCAGAGCAATTTTATTACCAAGTCATTTAGTCATGTCTGTAACAGGTCTGGACTGCAGCGCTGTAGGAACATGAACAGCCAATCTATTCTTGTTCTAGTAGTTCTTCTACTGAAAAACCTACAACTCTTACAATAAAACAGTAAGTTACTCATGTAGACAAGCTCAACATGTCTCCATAATTTTGCAATAATTGTATTTTCTTACTGAAAATTCTCCTTTATCAAGCAAGGGAAACTCAGTGGTCTCCACAACAATCCAAAAAAAAAAAAAGCTGTTTAAGTTTGCATGCTGAATAGATTATAATTTGTAACCAGGCCTCTAAATGTTGGTTCCAACAGCCACTTTGTATATGGAGATAAGCTTGAAAAATACAGTTAACTAAAACTTTCCTATTAGTGTACTCTTACCTAAAAAACATGCTAGCACCTAAGTATTCTATTTAAAATGAGATCATGCATTTCTAAAGTACATGCAGAACTTCCAAGGCCAAGTTTTCCATATTCTTCTTTCTTCCAGGTCTGTGCAGCTTGAAGACTGCACCAAGCTGCAGGCTGCTATGACTGCCTGTGCATATTCTCCTGATATCTCATCCAAGTGGGACATCTGCCCTGTTGTCCTTCTGATGCACAGAGACAGACCCTGTTGGACATCACATGAAGTACAACAGCAAAGCTGGTAACACACTGACCTCTTACTAGGAAATCCCTCACTTCATGTTCATAATACAAATTTTGGATGTTGAGAGTGGTGTAAGTGCAAGTGGAGCATCTTTAAAGCTGTTTCATTCACTGCAATTTTGTGGGGTTTTTGATTAATTAAAAAAAAATCAAACTTCAGTGGCAAGAGAGAAGATTCCAGGTATTTCCAATTCATGCAACCACTGGCACCTGGGATATGACTCATCATTAAGTTAGGCCCTACTGAAATAATTGTAACTACACAAAACTAGGCACTATCTAAGAACCACAAGTGATGAAAAGCAGTACTCTGAGATGTTAACACACAAGTTGTAGGATAACACTTCTTAAGCTTAGTATCTGAGAACTTTCTCTAAGGACTAAGTATTGTTTTCATAATAATACATCTAAAATCCAAGAGCTTGCACGAAGACTACAAATAAGCTAAATCAAAAAAGAGGCACCCCCAAAGCAGTACCCAAATAAGGGTGTGCATCCATTTACCTCAAATGAATTTAGGTTATTTAATAACACAACAAAGCAATGTGATTTTTTCATGCCAACTGTCTGAGCAACAGGCCCAAGTTTTAAGGCCAATTCAAATCAGCATCCAAAGGAGCAAGGTGGAAGAAGAATCATTTTGCTAAACCACCACCACTATTTTGTCAGCCAAAGAGCAAAACTCACATGCCTAATTTAGGAGGCCAAACTAAGACTGTTTTCTACATGATCCCTGGACAAGCAATGGAAAGTTTCCTCCAGAGACGTTGTTAATGCAAGGCACGGAACTGGGATTCTAGAGTTAGGTGTACGAATTAATCCTGAGATTAAATGTGCTCACCACACCTCCATGGGACAAGTGTGTCCAGTGTTTAAACTGCACCTCAAACATGTGGTCATGAGCTGACTGTGAAACGTAACCAATCTTAAGAACCAAAGCAACTAAGACACACACAAAATAAGAAGCTGAACAACAAATACTGAAAACAAGAAGCTACAGAGCAGACGGAAAAGACTTCTTTCTGCTGAAGTCACCATCAGAAACACAAAGTGCCGATGCCACACAGACACGTAATCATCAACACACAACATTACAGCAGTTCATTGTGAGTAAAAACTCCATACCGTGGTACCTGTATAGTATCTTGCTACTTCCTCAAAGAGGAGGCATCCCAAATACACTCCATTTCAACTAAGTACCAATTCACAATATGGTATCACAAACATTATTTGGCCTAACTCAAGCTATGTAGCCACCAAGTATTTCTGGCCCCCATGGACTATTCCTCCCAGTCCCGCCAAAAGGATTTCCAATAGAGAATTTTTTCTCCCCGAGTAGCATCAGGGCACATGTCTGTATTAGGGCTGAGGTACATGATTATATATGAACACACACACCAAGGGAAAAGTTGCTTAAGAAGTCAGTAAAAAATAAAAACAAAATAAGGTAAAACAAGTCATTAATTTCTACCCTTTCAGTATTTAACTCTATGCCAGCTGAAACCAGAACACAAGTATTCAGATAACCTAAGGTAAAATTCCTTTCTCCTCAAAGGCATAGCTAGAGGATTTAAATACAAAGTGGGGGAGACAGCATATGAATCTACAGAGGAAAGGAGTATGTGCAAAGAAAAGAGTATTAGGTGAGATGACGAGGAAGGTTTTAATGACAGGAAAGTAAGATCAGAAGGGCAGAAAAACATGAAGAAGGAAATGGTTACTGGGCAGAAGAAAATTGGAAGGGGAAAGGTAACAGAGAGGTAATGACAGTACTGGAATATTACTTCAAGAGGAAACAAGAAGGATGGGGAAAGGATCCCAATCAGGACACACTTAGCTTGCAGTGGCAATGTTACTGGGAAACAAATGAGCTGGTTATTTGAAACAAAAAAAAAGCAAGACTAGTCATCTGGATGGAGACAATAAGTATACAAACAGAAAAACAAAAGGTTACGGGGCACCTTCTCTGGTAAGGCCACAACAGTAGGTGGCAACAAGGGGAAGCCTGGCGCACACTCCTTGAGAGCAAGAGAAACCTAGAGAAGTTGACCAAGATGAACTGTGGCAAAAATCCCCCAGCCACAATGGTACTGTGAGCACTAGGGAATGTCTCTAGGTACAACCAAAAAGCTCCCAGACAGACCTGAATATCACTAGGGCTATGGGTATTGCTGGGATGAACAGGGTGAAAGGAAGCAGCACAGGAAAGGACAGGGAGGACAGAGAGCAGGTGAACTCCCCAAAACAGTGTCCGGTGAGGTTACGGACAAAAGCTCACAGGGAAAAAAGAGGGCAGAGGCGTGGGAGGAGCAGGGCCTGGGATGGCTGGGGTGGGCAGTCCCGGGGCTGAGGAGGGCACAGCGAGGGCTGCGGGAGGACGGGCCCGAGGTCTGAGAGCCGCCGGGGCGGGACGGAAGGCTGGGGCAGCCACCGAGGCGCCCTGGCCATGCGGGGGCCGCGGTCACGGGGGAAGGCCGGGGACGGAGGGAGGGAGCAGGCAGCCCCCCGGCGGTCGGGCAGATCCTGCGGGGCCGGGGCAGCCAGCGGGGCGCTCCCGCACCCCGACGGGGGCGATGCGTTCTGAGTGCGCAGCTCGCGGCCTCCCCGCTCCGGCCCGGCCCGCGGCTCCGGGGCCGGATCCACGAGCGGGCCGGGCAGCCACCACCGCCGCCCCCGCGCTCCGGGGCCGGGAGCGCGCCCGGGAGAAGAAAGGCAGGCGGGCCGGGCCCGACCGCCCCTGCCCCCGTTCCCCGCGGCGTGACTCAGTGCCGGGCCCCGCGCCGCAGCCTTCGCGTCCTGCCGGGCCAGGCCAGGCTGGGCCAGGCCTCGCTGCGACACAACGCCGCGGCCTCCCTGCACTCACCAGCATCGCGCGTCCCGCAGAGTCAGGGCCACGTCCGCCCGCCCCTTCCGCCTCCGCCGGGCCCGGATCCGCCGCCGCCGCCGCCTCCCCCCGGCGCGGCCCGGGGATCGCGGAGGCACCGCCCCTCGCAGCCGCCCCGCCCCGGCTCACGGCGGGCGGGGGAACCGGGGCTGCGGCTGCCCGCGCCGGCAGGGCCCGGTGGGGCTGGGCCTTGGCCTCGGCCTCCGGCGGAGCCTGCCCGCGGGGGAGGCCGGCCGACCGACCGATCGATCGCCATCTCCTTGGCTGCCAGGCCCTGCCCTGCCCGAGGGGTCGTTGCTGCGACCCCTCCCCAAGTTAGTCCAGTGCCAGAAGAGCTGAAGGATGAGCTGAAAGACTTGGAAGTGATGGTTGATGGAAAACTCAACATGAGCCGGCAAGTGTGCGCTCTCAAGCCAAAAAGCCAATCGAACTTGGGCTGCATCAAAAGCAGCATTGGGGCCAGCAGGGCGAGGGAGGTAATTCTGCCCCTCTACTCTTCTCTGGTGAGACCCCAGCTGGAGTGCTGTGTACAGTTCTGGTGTCCCCAACATAAGAAGGACATGCAGCTGTTGGAGCAAGCCAAAAGGAGGCCTCGAAGCTGATAAAAGGACTGGAACACCTCTCCCATGAGCCCAGGCTGAGAAAGCTGCGGCTGTTCAGCCTGGAGAAGAAAATTGTGTGGAGACCTCAGCAGCCTTCCAGTATCTGAAGAATCCTAGAGGGAAGCTGGAGAGGGGCTCTTTGTCAGGAGCTGTAGTGATAAGACACAGAGTAATAGGTACAATTCAACAAAGAGAATTTTAAGTTAGATATTTGGAAGAAGTTCTTTACTGTGAAGGTGGTGAGGTGCTGGAACAAGGGAATAAGTTGTCCAGGGAGGTTGTGGATGCCCCAGCCCTTGCAGTGTTTAAGGCCAGGGAAGTATCCCTGCACATGGCAGGGGGTGTTAGGACTAGATGATCTTTAAGGTCCATTCCAAACCCTTAACATTCTATTCCATGTGTTTCAGGATGACATGGTAAGACTTTCCTCCATCCATAGCTAACCAGCTGCTTCTGTATTTATGAGAAACACAGGTTTCTAAAGTGTCCTGTACACAGTGAATGACACCACACTAAGTCTGGGAGTCCGAATGGATGGTACAGCTGTGAGTTAACAGTGTGTCTTTGTCTAGCAAGTGTTCAACCAAACTGTGAAGCTCCTCTGAATTATTCACATCAGGAATCATTGCCTCTAAGTGCATGAACATTGCCTTGAAAACTTTGATTGAAGTGTGGCTTTTGTAAGAGCATAGAAATATTTCTGTAATTGTGAGTTTCAGAGTAGTAAGAAGACAACTTGGAAACAACACTGCAGAGAGAACAGGGTAGAAATTGAAAGAAAGGAAATTACATTGTTCAGCTGTGAGCTGCTTGGAAGATGTGTGACGGCATTTGATCTGACTTATTGAGGGATATGGAGTTACATGAACCTGTTTGCAATCTGCAAACAAATTAAAGCAGAACTACCTACTGTAGATAACTTTAATGTATGATACTAAAACGTAAACCTCCTAGCAAACTTGCTTCACTTATTGAAGTGAAGATTGGAAGTGGGACAGTTATATTTTCTTTCTAAGAGTATGAAACTGATGGAACAAAATCATACTAAAATTAAGAGACGTTTCAGAAAATTAATATTTTGGAGTCAGTTCTGTCTTATTTGTTCCTGAAGACTGGAATTATATTGCTGGAGCAGTGTTGTGAAGAAAAAAACCCAAGGTTTGTAAAAGATGTTATAAAAAGTGCTTATCTTTTATACTAGTATCGAGAGTTAAACCCATTAAATTCAGTAGCTTCCTGGGAAAGGAAAGAGAAATGGGGAAGCAATAGGAAGAAAGAGAAGATTTCTTTTCTTTGCAAAATGCTTCACTTGCATTCTGGTTCTACCAGCTGTTCACCTTTTCTGAAAATTTGCCTTCTCAAAGCTAATGGTCCTTAGTCATGTTGGTGCTGGAAAAATTACTTCCCTGTATAATAATGCCTTCCCATAGCCCAGCCTACTGAAGTGGACACAAGCAAAGTCAGTGACAAAGCTCTTCCAATGAGACAGTGCTGACTAAGGAGCACTGTCTGAGGAACTTGTTTAATGTGTAGCAGGGACACTGTCTCAGTCAGCTGGGTGGCATCACGACGCTCATATTTTGCCTGTGTCGGTATACTTTGCAAATACCATTCCTGGGCATGACTAAATCTCTGGTTTGCTGACATACATGAGTTGTAGTAGAAGACAGTTTGTGTGGGTTGGCATCAGCGTGGTGTGCTAAAGATTGGGACAGTGAGGGCAAACAAAATAGTCTGGGGAACAGGAACCAAATCCAAAGGAGGGTGGTCTGATAATGAAAAATAAGGACTGATTTTTCAGTCTTGGAAAGTTAGGTCTTGGTGCTGTGTTTTACAGCAACTCTCTTTGCGAGAGGTGAAGGCATCATTGTTTTAAAGCCTAAAACAAGGGGACAAGAGAGCTATAGACAGCAAGAAAGGTGAAAGAGAAATGACAGGAAGGGAGCAAACTAAGGGGAGAAGAAAGACCTGAATTGGCACCATCTTGCACTAAACTGGTTTTTTTTTTTTTTTTAGCTTTTGTGATTAACTGCTGTACAAGCCTGAGATGTGACAGTTTGGAATATCAAAATTTGTTTATCTTTTTTCCCAGGGCTGCATTATGATTTGTGCTCACTTTATAGAGACAAGGCACAGTTCTCTGATTTTATTCATGGTAGTGGTAGCTGAGTTGACACTCTGAAAAGGTAGGCCATAAAAAAAGGTTCACTAGACAATTCGGACATGGTGTGTAACATGGCTCCTTCATACAACCATTGAAAGAATTCCAGCAGCAAGGTAAGTGATCACAGAGAGAAAAGGGAACTGAATGCAGGGAATTGAATGCCAAAATACCTATTAACAAATTACTCATAGCAGGATGGCTCATGCATTTTGAATTGTCCAATGGAATTTATATACTTTGCGTAAAAGGACAGAAGCTTCTCTTAGAGACTGAGGCAGCCAGAATTTCAAAGACAGACTTCATGAGAGAAATCCAGTCTTTTTTTTTACTAAAATGAATTTGCGGTGCTGCTGAGAGGGGCCTGTTTTCAAAATAACTTGCAGGTCTCACACTTGTTGCATCAGCAGTGAATCAGCATACACTAAGCAAGAAAATTATCATGACAATGTTTGCAGTCAGTTTAAGTAGGTAGCTCCCTCAGCAAAGAAGAAAAGCCTGAGTCATTCAAAGACACAGAGTTGCAGCGACTGCTAGTTTATTACTACCTTCAGGAGTCTGGGCTGATTTGGGGGATACTTTCCCTGCTAGTTACATGTGCAGTGGTGGTCTGAAAAGAGTAATTACTTACACCACCTCCTCCATACATCCCGGAAGACAGGCTTGGTATAGGCAGGGTAGATGACAACCAGATTTGGTAAAGGTTGCACAGCTGTATTGAACATCTCTTGCTTTTTCTGGCAGATTTGTTTTCCTTGGTGCTTTGGTAAAGAATGTTTGGCTAAGCTCCTAAGTGGTGGTTCCCCATTTAAATACTTTATTCCTGGTTTTGAGTTGAGCCCCAGCTGCTCCCTAGCTCTGAGAGCCTCTGTTTTTGAGCTAGTGAGAGGTTGCAGTCATGTTTTTCCTTACTGTTTCTTCTTGGGAGAGTTGAAAGCTAAGATACAGGAAATAAAAAACAACATGTTTGGGAAAGTTCTGTACAGTATGTGAGCAATACTACCAATTTCTTCAGCTTTTTTGTTGAGTAGAACATTTGAGTTTCAGGATTTTCCATGATTGCTTGTAAATCAGTCTTGGGCTCAGTCTGTCATGCACATTTGTATAAAGTAACTGAGAAGAGATATCTTCGGTGCTTCCAAATTCAAAGGTGCCCAAAAGAATCTGTGAATGACAGATGATATTCCACTGCTCTGCTGCTTCTTGTGCTGTGAACCTTTGCGGGAAGATGGAAAACATTTTGCAGAGATCAAATTGTTCTTCACAAAGGGCAGTCCCTGCATGTGTCAGACAGGTAGTGCCAGGCTCCTATATTGAATAAAAAGGCAGACTAGGAGCGTTCACAAACATGGTAACCTTTGGTTAATCTGCTCCTTTTATAAGCACAGGTCAATTGTCAAACACTCTGGCTGTATCACCAGCAGGAACAATGCAATATGTGTACAAACGTGTGTATAGAGGGCACACCAGCTCTCCTCAAGCCTTCTGTTTTTTTTCTCTTCTCTGACAGGTTGTCTGTCACCTGGATGATTTTTTAGAGGTTTGCAGCGGTCTGAATTCCAACATTAGAGCAGAGAAGAGGAACAGAGAAAAGAAAGTTGAGTTACAAGGGAGCTACAACCATATTTTGCTCCCATGAGCACTTTGGCCTAATCACTTCTAACAGTTCTGACCTCAAATAGGGATGTGGAGATACTATGCAGAATGGGATCATGACAAGTGAAGCATCATTGCCCATCCAGAGCAAAGAATATTAACGTATCCTTGCGTAGAAGATGAGCAAATAGTCACCTTGTTCTCAACTTTAGGATATTTAAATTCCAAAATGGAGAGTATTTGTTCCTAAATCTAAAGGCACACATGTGCTCTGGGAATTCATAATAGAAAGAAGATGGTGGTAGTTTTTTTGTTTGTTTGGTTGGGTTGTTGTTTTGTTTTGGTTTTTTCTTTGCAATAATTTCTAGATTAAAAGCTTTCAATCAAAAATGGTCTCCTTCTACTAATGCCTCTGCTATTGACTGCCACAAATAATGCACGGATCCACTGCCTTTTCTTTTTCCATCCTGTCCTTCACTGGGCTGAACGTTTCTCTTGGGCCTGAGATCCAAGACTTAGCATTGGTTTAACTCATTAAAGCTCTTTCTTTGTAGGAATTTTTACAGACTGAAAGACAACCTTGGTTATGCTTCTCTTTTTTGTTTTTTTTTTTTTTTTAATTTTGAGTAGTAGTTAATCTGCTGCTAATGTAGCTGAGCTCTCTTTCATTGATCTTTAGTAAAGCTAATATTTCATTTGTTTGTTTTCCGTAGTTATTTGATATTTTGTGATGATGAACAGGCAGCTCTTCACAGACACAGCATGTGTAATGAAGGAAATTGATGTTCTGTATGAACATTTTTCATAGAGGAACACTGCTCCTTGGACTTAACTTGTTTCTCACTATATTTTTACCTGAGGGAGAGAGAACAAGGAAGAGCAGTGTCACAGGAACAAGCCACAGCTTGGCTTTTCACACTCAGCATATTCAAAGCAAGAGTTTATTTTTACTGCATTCTTCCTCAGGCTGAAAATTCAGGCTCACTTTCCTTGGTTTGAGCCCACTGAGATGCTTCACAGGACACGTTCTCTTGTAGGGTATTTAGATTCTCTCTGATCAGCATTGAGTCTAACCTCTGTACACAGAATTCCTAAAAGTAGGAAGGTCTAGTAAGAAGTGTGGCAGGAGATTTTTTGTAGTGTATTTAAATACTGACAAGCTTCTGATTTTTCTTTCAGTGCTATGATACTTCAGAGTTTATGTGCTTAAACCTTGTGGTTTAGGTGCTGTAGAGGTTTTTAGTAAGAAAGTAGGTGGAGGAAATGTTTGTATACTAACTTCTCACTAGCTTGACAGGTAAACCTAGTGGATTGTAATATATTAAATATGTGGGTACAAATTGCAAGAGGGGAAATTTGAGAGAGGTATTAGGAAAAAGTTCTTTACTTTGAGGGTGGTGAGGTGCTGGAACAGGTTGCCTAGGGAGGTTGTGGATGTCCCAACCCTGGCAGTGTTTAAGGCCAGGTTGATAAGGCCTGGAGAGACCTGTTCTAGTGGGAATTTTCCCTGCCCATGGCAGTGGGGTTGGGAGTAGATGGTCTTTAAGGTTCCTTCCAACCCCTTAATATTCTGGTCTGAAACAATCCCTAAGAGAATGATTTGTAGTAAGTTAATGTGTTATCTGTACATGTCAATGCATGGCATCAATGTAAGATGAATGTTGGCAGAAATGATAAGAAGACAGGTGGTTTGTGTGGTCAGGAAATCAGATGATACCTGAAAAGCTGTCTGAAATGTAGCCTTTGCCACAGAAATTTCTGCAAGTTCCTGATTTTGATATTTGTGTTGTGGGTCTCTGGATACCTGTGACAGTGACAGGAGCTCCAGCACCTCCTGGGGATCTACAGGCTTTGAAAATTGCTCTTTCCATGAAAAGACCCTTGCTGTGGGGCTGACAGTGAGGCTCACATACAGACACATCAGCCA